CCCAACTGGTGTAAATATGTCTCCACATCATCAATCCATCTCATCCTTGGGCGACCGATGAGTCGTCTGCCCCTAGGCTTCTGCCTGTATATAATTTTGGCTACTCAGCATTCCGGCATCCTTTCAACATGACCTGCCCAGCGTATTCTGCCTTTTTTTATCATTGTGACTATGGGTGGTTCTTTGTACAAATAGTAAAGTTCTTGGTTTGTACGTATTCTCCAGATATCATTTTCTATAACTGGTCCATATATTTTGCGGAGGATTTTCCTCTCCCGTGTGTTGAGCAGGTTCTCTGCTTTTCTGATGAGGGTCCAGGTCTCACTATCGTACGTTACTACAGGTCTTATGATGGTGGTGTATATTGTCTTCTTTGTTCCCCTTGATAAGTTTTTGTTTCCCAGTAGCTTTTGTAGACTAAAATAGGAACGGTTGCCTGCTGTTATCCTTTCTTTCACCTGTGACATTATCTCATTGTGCTCATTTATTAGTGGCCCCTAGATATTTGAATGTGGCCACTCTCTCAAATTTATGGTTGTTAATATTGATGTTATTATCAGCATGGGAGTTTCTTGACTTTCTTAGATAGATAGGTGAAAAGATAAATAGATATATGGATATATAGACAGACAGACAGACAGATAGACAGATAGATAGATAGATAGATAGATAGATAGATAGATAGATAGATAGATAGATTCTATCTATCTATCTATCTATCTATCTATCTATCTATCTATCTATCTATGATAGATAGATAGATAGATAGATAGATAGATAGATAGATAGATAGATAGATAGATAGATAGATAGATAGACAGACTCACGTGACAGATCACTCAGCTCTACACGCACAGACGGTCGTGTGTCCTGATAGCTTTAAGATCTGATTTCATAACTTTAAATATCCATCTCTTGTAACCCATGTATTCATTATGCTCGAATAATTTCTTAGACTAAGTGAAACTGAGCTTCAACATTCTGACGATATTCCGATGTTCACGGAAAATGTCCGTTAATTTACAAATATGTTTATGTATACTGATCACATCCAGCTGTATGGCTTGTAATGATTGAGTTACTGGTTCCAGTAGCACTGAGTGTGCAAAGATAATCACAAGACATATGAGAAATGAACACAATAGCTGGTGAGCATTTTGTCGCGTTTTACCGGTGTCATTTGTTGCAATTGACTGCATATCGCCTTGAAATTCTCACTGAACATGAGAATGATTTTATATTTTGAGTGCCATCGAGTTTCACAGAACAATGGAACGTTAGATATTAACGATCTTCGCTTTAGCTTCGAGAACATTTAATGCTAGTTTTGATTTTACCAATGACATTATGCATTTGAACAACAGAATTTAAAATTATTAACCGCCAGATTGAACCGATTCCAGAGCAAGGAACACAAGCTGCTTTTTGGAAAAATGCTGCGTATTTTAGTCTGAACACCACCTTTCTGCCATTGTGGAACAGTCGTCAGATCCTTGTCCAAGTAATTTTGTCATGTCCTGACCACATTCATTAGAGTGACGTATAATAGCATCTGTATTTGCAGTGGCTGTCGTTCGCTTCAGTGGATGGAACCCGATAAATTGTTCACACATTTTTAAATGCACTCTCTATAACGTTGTCTACAAAACGTACCGCCAACGACAGTTGTTCTATTCCTGAATATATCAGTTGTTTCCTCAGCTAATACATTGCTGAGAATCCTATAGAGCTGTTCACTGATGTAATGATTGGTTTCTTTATTACATCCTCATATATCTCGATCAGTTGATTTGGGATCCTGTGGCAAGCATAAGGAGCATTACCAATGGACGTCTGCAAATGTGGTCTTCAGATTAGAGACCGACCGAAAGTGATTGTCTGATTTCGGCCGAAACCAAAAACATGCCGAAATTTAAAAATGACTTTCGGCCGAAACCGAAATAAAACCGAAAGTAAACATTTCTGTTGTTTCGGCTGAAGCCAAAATTATACCGATATTTAACTTTTTGGTTTCGGCCAAAGACGAAGCCGAATTTGAACTATTTAGGTATTTTGAAATTCATCCGCGCATACATTCTACATACATCAAAAATGGTGGGGGGAAGTATCAATATGTACATTCTTTTTTTTTTTTTTTAAATCATGAACATTTCCACTGTCACTATTTTTTTCCAATAAGTGTAATGTCTTGCGTTCCAAAGAAAATGATTGGGGATATTATCGGCAAAAGCGTATTTCCATTTTCCGAAATCTTATTAGAAAGAGAAGTCTATCTGACTTAAGATATGACTATCTGGATTCCTAATGATGCTCAAGAATGCTGGTTCATTGAAGTTGCATCCTTCTCAGCACCTCTGTGCCATTCTCTTTCCACATGATTACGAACGCCTTGGGGAACGTCGTTGTACTGAGATGATGACAGATGTTGCTATAAATGCAACTTTGTATTCGCGATGAATGGGTTGCGGGAAAACAAAACAAAAGAGACACATAGTATATAGGACATTTAAGATGAAGAGACACATAGTATATAGGACATTTAAGATGAAGAGACACATAGTATATAGGACATTTAAGATGAAGAGACACATAGTATATAGGACATTTAAGATGACTACTACAATGGGCAAGCCACGGAGATAACTGATCAAGCCAGGCATACTGAAGACAACTTTTTTTTTTGTTTACGCCAGGTCTATCCTCGCTGAAATTTTTAACTATCTATTGGTCGGTATGAGTTTGTGAGTAAATGGTATTTTTAAACATCTGACAGTTGAGACGTTGATTGAATACATCGACCCAAATCAAGGGATGTGGGGGGGGGGGTCCCGTCTGTTAATCACGACTGCAGCGGGTGTCGGTCTTTTAACTTTTAGTCACAGCCGAACACTTAGTTGTATTCAATAAGTAACCAGAGGTAGAGGATTCACTTAATAAAAGTGTCATTATACAGTGCAACCCCACTTAAACGCGATAATCAAGGTCGATAAAATCGAATCACGTTGACTCCGGATTTTAAGAAAATAAGTCGTATTCAACCTACCCCCGTCTCTACTAGTCTTGTACGCCCCAATCAGTGATTATTTCTGAAATTTTCCCGGGGGGGGGGGGCACTTCAGATTTTTTTGGGGGGAGGGTGTGGGGGCAGTGCCAGCTGCTTTATTGTTGGACATATTTTTGCTCCGGGGGGGGGCACTTGGCCCCCCCCCCCCGAAATATAGCTGGAAGAAACTCTGGCCCCAATGCACCTGACAGGCACCTGCCGATGAACACATGGGGTGGGGAGAGTGGGGCTGAGTGTCTTGGAGCCTTTATTTTAAAGACTTGAACTCAAACCCTCTGAGCGTGTGAAGAATAAAAAATGGAAATTTTAATGTTTGTTTTTTTTACCATGGTAGGTAAATTTTCTACTAATTTGAATGTTAATTTTATCACAGTTAAAAGTATAAATATAATTTCTTTAGTTCCGGGGTTGTTGACCAGGGATGCAATCCCAGGGGGTGAGGGACGACCCGGAATTATTATTTTATTAATTAATAAAAAAATTAAACCTTACTTCCGTTTTGCCATATTTCTTTTAGCTACGGTAAGCTTCAACATTTTCACTTTAAAAAAGTTAATTGCTATGTTATGAAGGGCAGGCCATAGCAAATTGAAGCCCCTTCCTCCTACAAATGTTCAGGTTGATATTAACATTAACAGTTGATAATTGATAATTTAAAGACTATGCTGCTGGAGAAGATTGGAGTCCTAAATTAGCCATCTTATGCAGCCAACTATTTATAAACATTTTAAACAATAAAATATAATTATTATTTAGAATTTACATTCGTGAAGCAAAATTAAAACTTATTTGTTTAAAATGAAAATAGATTTTTTTTTTAAAGGAGCAACTGCAACAACAAAGAAAAATCCGACTTAGCGTGTAATTTTTTTTTTTTTTAAATTTAAAAAAGTGTAATGGGGACTTAACTACCGGTAGCAAACTAATCCACAAGCAAACGTTTCTGGCCGTTGCAGAAGAAAATGCACTGGTTGCACACCCTAAGGCCGGCCCTGTTTCACGCTTCGATTTGTCCAGATCATCATACCTTGACTTTACATACAACTTAATACCGGCACAAGATATGCCTATTTAATTTAACAGAAGCTAAAGTAGAGACTTTTCTGACGACACTGAGAGTGAGCTTAATTTGAATAATGAAAGAAATCTACTACTAGAGTACTAGTTTATAGTATTTATTGAGCCAAAAACTTGCTTCAACTTCATTATTAAAATATTTAAAAACATGTTCTAAAATTACAATACCGTGTAAAATTTGTTAAGATACCTCGATCAGGTTTAGGAAAGCCTTCACTAGAAAAACAAACTGACATTTGGCCTAAATTTTTTATGTACCAAGGCCAATCTTGACAAAGGCTAAATTGTGGTCAGTGGTAGTGTAGTGAAACGATTCATGAATAAAGCACCACAAGATGACTGGGTGTATGGATATTGTAAAGCGAGATGCCAAAGAACAAAGATTACCCGAAATAATAGGAAAGACCTTGCGTTAGTCTACTTTGACAAATTAAAGCTTCATTGGATAGTGTACTACTACTATACGGTACTGTAAAAGCAATAATAATAGTGAAGATTTGGCTTAAACTTAAATTACTTGAAATAAAAGATCACAATATGTGAACTGGTGATATTTTTCTCCACCTTTCATTACAATAAATTATTATTAATATTATGATCAAACATTGAATTAAGAAAAGAAAATGAGTAGTCTTTATTTGTATTAACAAATTCTACATGAGCATGGACTGTCCTCTCATTTTAAAAAGGCAGTCACCACTATTTTCCTTTGGTTGAAAACCTAAATCAACTTAACCTAATAAAAGCATGACTACATTGTAGATTTAACTTAAGCCATTCAAATTGGATGACAAAAATGATTTGACAGTTGTAACAAGTATTTCCCAATCTTGTTGGATTACTTGTTTATACCAGGTAACAGTAATTTACAGTTGTGTCCAACCTATGCTCTGCAATACAATGTACAACATGAACATCTAGGATCTAGGTCAGCATTTGTCAGGGTTCCCCACATAGCCCTCTCCATTTCTGTACAGGGCACAGTACTGCTTACTAAATACTACCCCTACTTCACCACCACCCACCCGTAGATGTAATCTTCACTACAGGTAGCAATATGTAAGCCAGGCCTGTGCAACTCAAAATGTAAGGTGGACTGTAATACTTCAAGAAAAACCTGTGCGGGTCAAAAGAAAATAGCCCCCCACCCACATTTTTAAAAATTATTTTTTTTGTTACTTAGCTGCGCAAAGTAGGCCTAATGTAAGCATATTGGACTTTATCAAATGATAGGCAAGGTGAGAGATAGAGTAAAGGGATGACAACAATGCCAGTGTCCTACAAATGTAAAACAGACCAATCAAAACAAACAGCAAGAACCAAAGTATTTAGAATTTTTTAATAGTCCATAAATCAAGTACTACAGATTGTTTTATTTGGCTGCAGATTTGCCCCCAGTAGTTGCAGCTTTCCCCCCAGTTGCTTTGCCCCCAGCAGGTGCAGCTTTGCCTGTAGTAGGTGCAGCTTTGGCTGCTGTAGGTGCAGCTTTGGCAGCAGTAGGAGCAGCTTTGGCTGTTGTAGGTGCAGCAGGTGTACTCTTGGATACAGACTCTCTGATTGAGTCTCCCTTACTCCTTGAGTTTGACCTCTTTCTTTCAGCTTTACGTTCTTTAGCTTCCTTCATTCTCTGAGCCAACAATTTGGTATAATCTGCCTGTTCCTCCCTCTTTCTGAGAACTCTCTTCTTTTTAAGTGCAAGACGGAATCGTTTGCGCTGAAGAACCACAGGGGTAACAAGACGCTGAATTTTGGGTGCTTTGCTCTTTGCCTTTTTACCTGTTATATTCAAGAATAAAGTACACTTGAGAAATACAGCATGAATAATGTTCAATAAATAAAATTTCAAGGGAAACAAATTTAGCAAGATTTACTGGCATATGGAGAAAAAACAACAAATTAACCATAATGACCTGGAATATGTATTTGACTCAGTCTATAATACCAACGAGTGAGTAGCATACGCAAGCCGTTTAACCCTCGGTTAAAAAAATAATCACAGTAGTTCATTATTCTATTAACTCATTCCCTCCGGCAGCGCTGCTTCCGGACTTAATTTATTTTCCTGAGAAAAGGGAAGCAACTCAGTTTTGAAATTGATTTATATTTTAAAAATATTTTTTTAAGTTGCTAAATATTATTTAATGTTAATGAATTAAGAACAAATGCAACAAAAAATGAATAAGGTTTAATATAAATATAACATTAGCGGGGGACAAATAACGAACAATGGCCAAAAAATCGATTTTCGGCACCTCGGACGAACACGTGGTACATATAGATGCGCAGTACTAAAGCACATGTAGTTTAAAAGTGAAACAAGATAAAAACTTCCGGTTTCTAAATTGAAATCACGCCATAGCCGGAAGTCTCGAGGGGTGCGAGATTTCATTGCTATTTTTAACTAAAAATAAGAGAGGTGTGTCGCTATGCGCCGGGACGCATTTGGGCGCATCAGTAGGAACCCCCCCGAGGACGCATTTAGTCGCAACCGTCTGGAATGAGTTAAGTACCAAATCATACTGGGAGTTAGACAGATGTCCTTAAGATGAAAAGAGGCAACTAATGAGAATAAACATAGCATTGGTTACAATGAAAAAGTCAGACTAGTTTAAAAACACTTACCATCCCTCTCTGGCAGTGGTCTTCTAACAACATACTGTCTGACATCATCTTCTTTAGCCAGGTTAAACAATTTCCTGATCTTACTGGCTCTCTTGGGACCAAGACGACGAGGAATGGTCTTATCGGTTAGGCCTGGAATATCCTGTTCACCTGTCACACCACATGAAAAAAAGATTGTCTAATGAGTGATGTGCGTCAAACTCTTGACATTTAGCAAATAGTTTCCGGTTCACCGCCTATTTCTGAACGGTTCACCACCTATTTCTGAGCAAAAAAGTCCTTGAAATGGAAAACCCCAATTGGTCTATGTCAATTTATGTAATTTTTAAGTCAATAATATAACTTTTAGTAAGCAGGGGTGTTCAAATGCTCAGACTGATACATGAAGTTTAATTTTGGATTTGTCCTCGGGCAGAATGTGTAATTTATTAGCTCTTCAATATAAATGTTTCAAGGTGCTGAAACTTTAAGTCAAAACAACTATTCCAGGTGACAGGATCAATCAATCCAGCAAAACTGAATGTCAAATTACTAATGAGATATAAATATATGAAGTGTTTCCATCCATCCTATTTCAAGGAAGCAATTTTTTGTTCTTGAGGTTTTTGAAGAATTGTTAAAGACACAGAGTATTAACATACTTCATACAAATAGGTACTTCACCGCGCACTGAGCCAAAAGACCATGATTGGTTTCAAACACAACCAAAAAAAAAAAAATCCCATTAAAGAAGTATTTTTAGACCCCCAATAGGTCTATGATAGAGTCTGGCGGAGGGTTACTCTGGAAGGTATTCATAGCAAGGTGTATGAATGATTGTCTATATCTCGGAAGAGAGAGGCAGCAGTTATCGAGATGGTTGAAAGGTACAGAAGACTAGACAAGCAACATCCAAATAGACAAATGGATAACAAACCATAGAATTCAACAGATAAAGCAATACTAGATGTGGCCTCTGAAATTGAAGACATACAACTGTATTCCCACCGTAACCAAATAAAACCATTTGAAACACCAACATTCATTAACAGCAGACATCCTAATGAGACAACAACAAATCAACTCTTCCAATTTCCTGCACTTTAGGACTTGTGCCATAACTGATTAACTACCAGCTGTGGCCGAATAAAATCTGTCACATTTAATATGATACAAACTTTGGCGCTACCAGCGCCTCAAGGCCATAATGGAAGGAACGCTGAGCTGGTCCCACGCTGAGCTGGTCCCACCAGCTCATGGTAGTTAAACAGTTAACTACCTACCAAAGACATATAGACTACACAAAAGTCCAATATGCCAACAAAGAATAGCTCCAGAGAGTGTGTAAATTCTTCTCAGGTGCAGCAGGCAGAAGAGCACATGCCCAAATGGAGACTAGATATGAATGTTGATAGTTTGTGTAAGGGGCATAACACTATAGAAAGATGAACCTTTGGAAAGCCTATTGCTAGCCGTTTAACATGGTGTTATCTTCTATGGCAAGCCTGATAAACTCAAAATGTAAGGTGGGCTGTAATACTGGAAGAAAACTTGTGTGGACCAAAAGATAATAGGACAGGGGGGGAAAGCCCTTAAAAAATAATCATAATAAAGAATATTTCGTAACTTCTCGGGCTGCAAAATGGGCACTGGCGGCAGCATGTTGTGCAGGCCTGTTCTATGGCAATCAGACAAGATTAACAATTTCTGGCAAAGTACATTGTAAATACACAGGTAAATAGGTCGCAATTTAAATCAATTTTAACTAAAAGTTAGAGTATCATTTTCTCTTATATTTAAAAATTATAATATTAAAATACATAGATCAGGACGATAGCATTTCAGTTTTCAAATTGTTATGGTAACAATTTTGAGATACCCGTTTAACAAATAGCTATAATTACATTTAAAACGATTGTGTAACTCAACAGGTGCAACAGAGTACCGGTACATACAATAATATATAAAAACTAATGTTCTCTATTCTACACAGAAGAAACATTTGTATTTTCTATGTAAGTAAACAATAGCTTTAGTCTAAATCTAATTAACACTCAAATTTTTGCTTCCAAGCTATTAAATTCCTTGGTGCACATGTACCTAATAACCTATGGAACACCAATGTGATGTACCATAAAGTGTAAAATGAAGAAATGCTATATGTAATGCAGTCTACAAGGTTTCTCATAAGGCATCTTTTATTAATGAATTTATTTATGGGGTTAAATCAAATTACCTTTCTTGATGATGACAAGTGCAAGCACACTAAGATTGCCATCAACAATGCAACCACGAACAGATTTGCGTTTACGCTCTCCAGTGCGTCGTGGACGATAGCAAGAGTGGCCCTTGCTAAGTAGGAGTCTCACACGTCCTGTAGTAAGCACACCTTGCTTCATAGGGAAACCTTGTTTGTCATTTCCACCACTAATGCGCACCATGTAGCCCTAGATTTTAAAAAAAATGTAAGTACTTGAGCTATTTAATTAGGTCTAATTTAACATGTCAAACTCAAAAGTGTGACAATATTGAGCTTAATGAAAATGTTTTTAAATAATATGAGATTGAAAATGTGAGTAGTAAATGTAATTATAGATAGGCCTACCCTTATAAAATGTTTGAAAACTGTATGGATCACAGCTCAAGTGACTAATTTCAATTTTAAAATACAAAATATATGTTAATGTTTTAAAGCTAGCCCTGCAAGGTTTTAAGAACAGAATAAACTATTTAATTTAAAAACAGTGAAATGTTGGACATAATAGGCATTTGCATCACAAACGTGATCCTCAAAAATTAAAATTGATGCATATTAGTATTATTAGGCCTGTTAGTTGCTAAGATGATAAATGAAGACCTCAGCTGAAAAACCAGACAGGTCACATTTTGAAGATTTTGAGAAAAGTGGATTTTAAAGTTTGAAAGTATCTAATATTTTCACGTTAAAATAAAATGCTATAATTTTGTTTGTAGTTAGTGATACCATTTTACTTTCAAAATATATCAGTTATTAAGTGACAATTTACTACATTTTTACAGCTTTTTACCGGGCTGACCCAAAATTGTGACTTCTCTGCTTTTTCCACTGAAAATGGAAAACTTTTTTTAAACCATATTTTATGGCTTTTAATAGGCCATTACTTATCTACTTCATCACAAAGTCAACTTAAGTGACCACTTTTAATAATAAAACCAATTGAGGCCTGAAAACCCCTGTTATTTTACAAAAATTAATAATTAAAAGTTATAATTTTTACCAAAAAAAATCTAAAGCCAAGCAGTGTTCAGTGTACACGCCACTAATATCTTGTACTGTTGGTGTAATGAGTCAATAATAATTTAATAAGTTATATCAAATTTTTACTTTCACAATGTCATTACCATTCAGTCAGTTTGTTAAAAATTATGTGTAACACATGACCCTGAACTCCTATTGAAGTTGATGAAATTGGAATGTGCTTGTTTTATGCTATTTTTATACACACTAGCACTAGCATCAGTCATCGCTCAGTTGACTGTAAGGGTAGTGATTTTCATTCAAATAAAATAAAGAGATTATGGCCTGCATTTTCAATAACAATGAAAAGATAAAGATACCGGGTAGTTATAGTACGTTTAACAGCTTTTAATCGGGAAGGATCACATGCAATAGCACAAAATACATTGTAAACCATTGTATTGTTCTCATCACTGCTGTCTGCCGTCAGTGGTCTGATTAAAACGATGCATGAAGCAGGAGACGAGCATACTTTTTGTTTTCTGCTTTCTTTTTTTGCCTTTATTGGACAATCATGATTTATTAGAGGCAATGTTTAACAGAGATGTAACTTCGTAACACAATAAGTCATGCTGAGCTTACTCTAAGAAATACAACACTGATAATACACCGGCAAAGTAGACTAACGATTAAACTTAATCCTAAGCCTAAACGGCCATCATTTTGATTCTAATCACATAAACCTTGCACGGTGACTATCTTTACCCAATGTATATGACTAGAAAACTTTGCTTCCTAAAGCTCTTTTTCATTCTCCAGGTTTTTTTTTCTCTTTAAGATTATATTAGATAACAATAGTAATAGTAGCAGTTAATGTATGGTGTAATTTCCACGTCGGACAGTTGACCTACATTCTTTATTTATGTTTTCCTTACTTGCCATTGGTTAAGCACATCACCTGATACTAAGGGAGGTTACTTTGATTTTTTTCTTCTACATTTTTACTGGACATGTCTGGTTCTTCCAAAGTATGCACTATATTAAATCCCCGATTACTCGTAAACGAGGTGATTTTTGCAGTAGTTTTCAGTGTCATCTGAAGCTTTATTATGAGCTGAATCGGTTAAGGGGGATAACTCAAAAATGAATTTTTTTTGACATGTCTGGTTTTTCCGCTGAGGTCTTCAAATGTGTTCTTAAATCTATCACAGTTAAACTTTAGAATAAAAAGCTTGGAAGTAAAGCACTAACTTTCCACTCATCTCCTAAGCAGTCAGCTGAAACTTCTGCAGAAATGCGTTTGTCATAAAATGGGCGTAGTTTCCTCTCATCATCAACTTCGATCAACTTTTGACAACCAGTAGCTGGAAAACTGATGTTGAGCTGAAATTAGTAGAACTCTTTATTAATGATTGTGCATTAAGTGTACTTCTCTTACAAAATGCTTGTGGTAAGCTGTAACATAATACTTGGGGGCGAAGCATTACTATATACAACAGAAGGCAAAATTAACACTCTTGAGGCAGCTGGGCTGATCTATCTGCCCAGAGTTGAACTGCGAAAAAGACAAAAGGCTCATCCATCAGCAGACCTGTTTACCCTCAAACTCTTAAAATCGTACAATATCATTACAAAATCGTTCAATACATTTTCTTAATAGAAAGAAAAAACATAAAACATTCAGTATATATAATGTATACACCTCAAAATCGTACATTGTACGCCAAAATTGTAAGAGTAAACAGGTCTGTATCAGCCTAATACCCATTAATAAGAGCCTCAAGATTGACTGGCTGGTCTTAGCACCAGCTAATAAGTTAAGTAGGCATCTCACATTTCTTGCTCATCTTGGTGTTGTCATTTCTTAGTGACTTAAATAATTTAACAAGATAAAAAAGGCGCCGCAAAAATAATATTTTAAACATTGTTTGTTATTATAAGTATGAAATGGTGAAACGAGGTATGAGCAGTCCCTTCATTTATTTATTATAAGTACCAATTTATATACCTTTAAACGAATTAAGCTAACAAAGTACTAATTATTGTGGTGAAAATAGTAAAAGTATATAAGGAATCTGTTTCCGATACCAGGGGAATCGAACAGCAATCTGGGTGCAATGTGTAATAAAACTACCATCCGATTCATAATTTTAAGTGTAAATAATCATCAGAATGTGTTCTTTTAATAAAAATGTATATTATCACTAATCTTAATGCTTTAACAAAGTAATAACGTAAATTGTTTACCTTCATGTTGCTCTGACGTTGGGTTTCTTCAATAACCCATGTAAAAAGGAAGTTACAATTGTTCCTTTATTTCATTTCCGGTGTCGGCAACATGCAAATTTTTAACGAAACAAATAATAAAATTCTGAATACTCATCGCGTTGCCTACATGTACACTCTATCTATATCTAAAGAATAGCTTTTTAAAAAATTTTTTTTTTATTAATATACTTAAATATGCAGAAATGATAGTGATTAAGGATGAATGAAGTCTACATTTTAAACGAATGAAAGTTTTTTCAGCGTTAGCTAAAATATGTAGACCATTCAATATCAATAATATAAGTTAGTTATCATCTTGGTAAGACCTTAGTCTCAGTAAAGTTATGCGGAAAAAATATTTTACTATTTAAATTATTAAAAATTTGTATTTAAGCATTAGTAATTAGTAATCCAAGCCACCTCCTTCCACCCAGACCTGACTGATGGCTTTCTTTTCCATGCTTGGATTCCCAACAGCTGTAGATCTTTTTCCACATCATTGACATCATCCATCCATCGAAGTCTAGGTCAGCCTTTGAGCCATTTTCCTCTGGGGTTTCGGTGGTGCCCCTTCTTCACTTCTCTGTCATTAGGCGTGTTTTTTTCCGAACAATGCTATGTCATCAGAATATGCAAGATACTGAAGAGGTTGGTTGTAGAGCATGTCCGTTGGTTGTGGGTCTTGGGTTTCCCTCAGAAAGTATCCTGCCATTGTTCTTCGGGTGTGATTATGTATGCTTCATAAAACTCACTTCAATGCTAGTTTAAGTTTAAATATCATACAAGACAGTGAGTTTCCTTGTCTTAGGCCTCGTCTAACCTGTTATTCCCTTGAATATTCTCCCTGAACCTTGAATTTGCTTTTTGAGTTGTTTAATGTTAATGTATGAGTCTTTTCAGTTTTTTGGGAATGCCAAACTCCTGCAGTGTCTCGTATATATATATTATATATTCTTTTGATCCTGTAATTAGGTAGTCCAAACTAAAGAAAAAATGCGTTTTAGTGTCATTTTTCGAAGTTTTCAAAAAAAAAAAAATTAATCCTCTTCTAGTAGCGATACAGCAAGAAAATTTATATGTGAATAAAGTTTAAGTCTTTATTTGGCGAAATGTGTTACTTGCATGACTGTAAAATGTGTTTGAAAGTGTTTCTTCTGTGTTTCAAAAGTATCAATTTTGACCAATTTTACGGCGTTTTCGCGAGTACCGGTTGACCCCAAGGTGTTTCAAACGCCCACGGCTTCGCGTGTATTTAAGTTATCGCAATAATTCTACCACCATAAGAAAGAGCAGATGCTGTCCTTTCGTTTGCTTATTTCATTTTGAAAAAGCCGGTTGAAAACTTTCGTATTAAAAAAATGGTCGAAAACATGGAGATATTAGGACGTTCTTTACACCGTTGGAAAGATCAGGTCTTTAACTATTTAATATCACGAGATCAAATGAGTGGGCATGATTCTCGCGAAGCGGTGATGTTTACAAAATCACCCCCATTTCCATTTTATATTTCACATAGACTTGATGTATTGGTATTTTCCGTAATTAATTCTCCATCATTGCTCTCACATATTTGAGGTCTGGCATACATTGGTTTCGCCTTTTATCGAGTATCAAACGTATCCATCGAGGCCCCCCCCCCCTTAAAAAAAACAACACCCCCCCCCACTTCTCTTGGCCCCTGCACGGCCAAGCATTCAATTATGTTATATTATCAAAACCTTTTCTTAAAAATAAATAAAATACCACTGCTATGCAACATCACATCGCCCAAAGTCGTGTATACTGTCAGACGGAGGATGAGTACATAGGTTTGGTATTTCATTTGATCTTTGGGTACAATTCGAAATCGCACTCTTGAAATTCCCACCACTTAAAAGAAAAATTGGTAAAACGATATGAATTACGTCGCTATATGAATTATAATTAATCACCGATAGGTCTATAATCCCAACGCTAAAAGTCATTTAAAAAAAAATAAAACTGATATCGAAATAAATACAAGTTTACAGTAGGGCTGAGCAGGGTCCAGTTTTTGTTTTGTTGTTTTTTTAACACCTTGTCCGGATATTTTGAGACCATACACGGCGGGCCTAAGTGTTGCAAAGAAAGAGTTTTCTTCTCGTGTCATTTATTGAGTTTCACCCAATTGGGGGAAGTGAAAAGTGCATGTATGGAACCAGTAGCGACCACGAAGGCATCAAAGTAGGGCCTAAATTATAACAGCAGAGTAATCATTCTCCACGACTGTGTTTTTATGATTATGTCTGTATAACTCATGTTTGAGACTATTTTATAACGTTATTTTGTGGTATAAGATCAGTTCCGAGTTTTAAAAATAGACAATTTTGCCGTTCTGGCAAGGTACCCTGTCAACGGAGTGGGAAATAAATCGGTGTCGTTTGAGTAAATTTATTTCGAAATTGTTCTGCAACTTTTTCAAACTTTCCTTTCACGATGACTTATGCATGAGCGAAAGAAATGTAAACTATTTTTCCTTCGTCGAGAGACCCATTCCCAACTGTATAAAGATATCGTCTTTTTGACTGCCGGTACTGGGAACTCGTGGCGACTATCTAACGTTGAAAAACCCATAGACGCGTTGACAATTTGGGAGTTACAGCACTGTTACTTTTTTTTTTTGGGGGGGGGCGGGGGGTCAGCACTGTTACCTTTGGGCATACTGTATTTATCACGATCTTTGTCTTAATTTTATAGGTGCTTTTCAAAACGGAAATAAATGATAAAGAAATATTTGTGAACTATCAAGGAACAGTTTAGGCTTTCTGGCCTTGCGATTTTTGTCCATGGAAAGTTATAAATAGTTAAATGGTGAAAAATGTTGATTTTGATGAAGTCCTTGGTATGTTTGGATCTTTAAAGACCGGGAAGGCAAACTTTGAACTTTAAAGTTTGTTTCAGTAATTTCTTGTGTTGCTTTAGGCAGGACTTAATTTAAAAACAATTTTCTAAGCGTTTTTTTGTGTGATCTGATTAAAACTTCGCACTTTTCTTCCAATGTTTCTTTTTTTTTTTTTCTTCTTTCTTTTCTTTCTCCAAAAGTGGGGCCCTTTCAAAAATATAACTTGTAATTTGATGCTGAGCATATATAAAGGCAGCAGATAACCCCAAGGGGAGCTCTTCTTCACTTTAATAGAGTGTAACTGTTACCAGGGACAAACTGGTACAATGTTAAACATAATTTTATTGCATTGTCAAAATGTTACATTAATTCATTTCAAAATAATTCAATGTACAGTGCTGGAAATGCTAAACCAGCCATAACTCATCTGTTTATTCTGATAATTTATATGCAACACATTCATCGAAATCTATAGGCGCATGTAGCATTTTATCATCATCATCATTCAGACCCAGGAGCCATTTGGGCATCTAATGTAGCATTTAAAATATACAATTTAAAAGTGTGAAAACTACTTGGTAATATGACATAAACATTCAGTTGCAAGCATAGCAGACTGATGTGGGCATATGTACAAAATGAAGTATGCTACTACTGTGCTACAATTGAATTCAAATGAAACTTGAGGTTTGGTTAAACCTGAGGTAAAGGTAATCAATATCTCTGAAAGGATGCAGGCAAGTAACATTATCATAAAACATATAAGAGTATCAGTCTGGAAAGTCAGAAGTATTGACATTGTAGGTAGCTAATATGGCCATGTTATTAGATAGATGTTTAGTAAAAAAGATTGCAACTACCCATTTGAACTGTTAAAAAAAAAAAAATTCACACATACAGTTAAAAATTAAATTGTGACATTCTCACAAGAGATAGTCATTGAAGTATAACCGTTAAAATGCTATAACCGTTAAAATGCTATAACCGTTAAAATGCTAAGACAATGTAGGCTTAAACAAATGCAACTAGGACTAAAATTAGTAAAAGTAATTTCTGTTCAATTTACATTAAAAAATTTGTTAAGTAGCTCACTTTGTAACATATAAATAAAATCTTTGTAAAAATGACAATTATGAATAGAGAAGTACTGGGGATTCCCACTGAAAGAATTTACACCCAGTTTTTTTATCAGCACTGACAGATGAACTAGCAACAGAGCATGTGAAAAACCAACGCCCAGTGTTTGGACCCTGGTTTTGAACAAGTCTCCTTTTTGACCTACGTCCACAGGAACAAAGAGGGGGAGTTGCTTTCATATTGAGTGACAAGTTCATGTTCCTGCTGATGGGTGTTTTAAACGATGAATTAACTCCATTACTTTTATTTAAATTAAATTTTAATAAGGATGAATTATTTCTATCCAAGCTTGTAGGTGTTTTGAAAGACGTATGTACTGGTGCCGGTAAAACTTTGTTCACGCTGCTGGATGCTTTAAGCCCAAGAGTTTTCACCCCTGATACCTGTGGTGGTGCCGAAGGCTGATGCCCTATGGCTTTCAGAGCTGTAAATGCAGGAGCAGAAGATTCTGAAGTGGTAGAGCTGTGACTTTTGTTTGAATTTGATGAAAATGAAGTGAAAGTGCTCCTAGTAATCTGCAGCATTCCTGTAGATGTTTTTGTCACCCCACTCCTTGAGCTATTCAATGGAACAGGTAAACAACACGAATTGTCCGACGTATTGCTAGATAGGCTGTTTGGTGGCAGAGATGCAGCTGGGTATTTGGATGCAGAGCTTAGCCCAGATAATGTAGGAGCTTTTGATTCTGCTGCATTGCAAACACCGTTGTGGAAAGTCAAGCTCCGAAGTTTAACAGATGATGACGAATTTGAGGGCAGAGGTATTCTCGAAACTGGTGTGGTTGGCAACTTCAATGATTTACTGCCCATTTTTAACAAAGGACATTGATCAGCCGTGAGGGTTTCAGACAAAGTTATGTCTGTTTGTTGATTCAAATTAGAATTATAAATACTAGGACTGGCATCTGCTTTTTTATCTTCATCAACATGCATAGGTATTACATTCAAATTTCTTTCAGACAGCTTTATTTTAGAATTGTAGCAAGAATTTCTCTGTTCACTGGTTTTATTGCCTACATCTCTTGCTATTTCAAAGGGTGCATTGGTGACTTTTTGGTTAGAGGGAACTTTTGTCTTAGAGGAGTGCAGTGACAGGGCCTGAAGAGATGGAGATTCCACTTTACTCATCAGGTTCTGGAGATAAATTAAAAGGAACTTCATACAAACTTCCCATATGTAAATCACACATTACTGAAGATTATTTAAAATGCTTAAAAATTAAATTTGTATAAAAACATTAAAAGAGTTACAAAGAAAAGCATTAGTTAGGTCTGAGTGGAAGGAAGTGGTGGGCAGGCCAAAGCCCTCCATGTGCTGTAGCACCACAGGGATGGATGTTACAATGAAAAGTTGTATACACAATTTATAATTCTTTCAAAATAATGATGCTAGGGTACTAAAATGTAAAAAAAAAAAAAAAAGCTGCAAGTGATCATATAATAAAGCTTTTTATAATAATAATTTTGAATTTATGCCAGACATTAAATAAACAACAAATAATAAAGTAGTTGGTTAGTGGTGGGCAGGCCAAAGCCCTCCATGTGCTGTAGCACCACAGGGATGGATGTTACAATGAAAAGTTGTATAAAAAATTTATAATTCTTTCAAAATAATGATGCTAGGGTACTAAAATGTAAAAAAAAAAAAAAAAAGCTGCAAGTGATCATATAATAAAGCTTTTTATAATAATAATTTTGAATTTATGCCAGACATTAAATAAACAACAAATAATAAAGTAGTTGGTGTCAGAAATACAATTTTAAATGGTGAATCCTTTGGTTAGAATAAATCAAAATTAAACTTGTCTCAAACTTTACTGAAATAGTTTGGTGTTTAAAAAATGGGTTTTTGGCAAATGAATTTTTAAGCAAATATGAACACTTGCATTACTTGTGTACCATCTTCAATGTCTTGGTCAAAGTCATGATACATCCATCACATATCATCCTCCAGGCAAGTCTAGCTGTGTTACGAGCATCATCAAGACCTGAAAGAAGCAACATTATTTAATTAATAAGATTATGTTTTATTTTAGTAACCGACATAAAAAAATGTGAATATTTTCTCCTTCTAGATTTATCAGTTTGTAAATACAAGTTTTAATTAAAATCATCAACATAATAAAAGTACTTTTACCTGAGTGTTCCCGGCCATCGAACCCAATGCCAACATCTTTCAGAGCTCCATTCAATCCATCAGGTTTACGAGAATAAAAATTCTGAGAGGATGAAAATGTAGAATTCAAAAAAAATATCCTAAAGGGGCTGTCCATTAATTTTGCCAACAAAATAGGGTGTGTGTGTGGTTCGGAAATGTTTGCAAGTTGTTGAAATGTAATGAGTGTAATATAAAATAGCTATGCAATTTTTAGCATTTTAACATTATACGATTTATTTAATGTGTGTCTCAGTGGCGTAGCTAGGGTTGGTGTCACCCGGTGCGGTAAACTCATGGTGTCACCCCCCCCCCCCCATGCCCATGCTGGTTTTTTCGTTTTAATATAATTTCACAATATAACAATAACAA